AGCCGGAAACCGAGACCACCATGACCCAGTCCCAATAATGCTCCGGAAGCTAAGGACTATGCCGCCCAATCTCTTTGGCTGCAGCGGTTCGATGCTAGCGCTGCAGCCGTGTCGTCGACATGTTCCGTTCGGGGTCCCAACCAACCAAGTGAAAGTCCTTCAACTCGGCTGCAGACTGCGTAAAAAGGCACTTGTCGCAAGGACAAAAACACACATACACAATGTGTATATATTATACATGTGTGGTATATATATATACATACATATATATATACATATATATATATATATATATATATATATATGCACACCCTCAAGACCACAGCGGAGTGCACCCGAATCCTTTTACATGCGTAAACCTCTGCGATGTGGGATTGCGCCAGGCGGAACATGAAACCCGAAAGCCACAGTCGCTAGAGGATGCCTCCGGGCCTTACATGAAATGAAAGTCCGGGGATGTTTGGGGCCGGGTCATCAACAGCAGCAGCGGCAAGCATGTGGCAGCAACTGCACTGGGGGATAGGACTACTGCTATTGACTGAAGGCTGTATCCTGGTGTTACCAGCAGCAGACACACATTCGTGGCAGCCAGGGTGGAGACTGGATTGACGTTCTGCGTGGAGACAACCTTCTAGGTGGACAGTGGGAGCAGGTGCACCTCAGCTGTGCGTCTGCATGAACAGCATCGAAAGCCGTCTGAAGGGGTAGGGGACATGGTTGCTGTGCAACCGGTTCTCTGACGCAATGTCCGAGTGATTCTATGGGGATGTGGAAAATCGCTATTTACAAGGCGTATGCTGCTGGTCGGTTTGTCTATTCTGCAATGGCAGAGAGCACTAACTGTTCCCTGAACCTTGCTTCGTGGGAGCAGTTGGTGATGGTTGCCTTATTCAGGTAGCTCGAGTGCTGGCTGCCATTACAGAATAGACAAAGTGACTAGTCAGGCTTATTAGGCATGCTATTCGAGTGGGTGTCGTCAGGGATGGTTTGTGGCGTCGTTGGAATACCCGTCCAATTGCTGGGAAATCGCACTTGTTTCCTCGCCTGCAAATTTCGAAAGTGTGTGTTTTCAAAACTTTGCGACCCCCGACCAGACAGAGAGAGAGAGAGAGAGAGAGAGTGCGCAGTTTCTTTTCCAGCAGCCTACGCCTTCAAACCCACAGCCAGTCTCACAGTGCAGTGCAGTGCAAGTGGGGGAGAACCGACATGTGTTGTTGTACGTGTTCGACCGGTTCCTGTTGTAGGGTACACCTAAGCTGCGTTTGGTTACCTCCCAACCACAGAGCTCCTTGCTGCGCGACGAGCCACAGAACCGCCACAAAGGACAACTGTTTGAGCCAGGCTGTTCCGGCGCATTTGGGGTGCCCGAAAACTTTTGCCGAGTTGGCGCCTAGGCTAGCCAGAGGGGCGCGGGGATGAGGCGGGGGTTGTTTTTTGTGTTTAGTGTTCGGGGGGGATCGCCAATTCGAAAGTTTGGGCCGCACCCAGTAGTACAATGCCGTTCTCAGGAGTACCCCAAAAGCCGATCACTCCATAAACCAGGGGGTGGTCGGGCGGGCTTAGGCCTGTGGGTCGCTCCGCGACCCTTATGCCCGGCAGAAAGAAAGAGAGAGAGAGAGAGAGAGAGAGAGGCAGAGAGAGTTGCAGGGATCAGGTTCGGGATCAGGCAGGGAATAGGTTGGGATGCAGGTAAGAGGCAGGGATTACACATAGGAAGGGGCACCCGAGGCAAACCAAAACCAGGCCCACTCTAAGTGTTGGTTGACCTGTTGTGTTCGCCAAGCCAGGGAACCCCGACCTAACAGAGTGGCACCGAAAGTGGAGCGGGGACCCGAGTCTTTCTGTCCTTGACTTTGTTGTGCACTTCTAACTGGGGAACCGGCCCACTGCCCTGAAAACCAGGGGACCCACTGTTGTACAGCCGAGCCCATCCACAGAATAATAGTGGATGGGGTAGCGCGCTCGCGCGGGGCGGGAGGACTGCTCCTGCCTCAAACCCCGAGCAAAGCAACGCAAAGGCAGAGAGAGTTGAGGGGCGCAGATGAATCTTTCTTGTGAAGGTGCACTTCACCCGCTGCTCCACTCTCTCCGCACCTGCGTCTGGGACCGTCAGGCCAGGTGCGTGAGTTCATACAAACAGCACACAACAGCACAGAAGGAGGAAACTGATTGTCACAATCTGGCAAGCAAGATGAAGATGGCGACGATGTTTTCGGCCCGATGCAGGGTCAAACCACAACATTCGCGCGGTCAAAGTAGTGCAATATGCTTACACGGAGCTCGGCGGAGCCCGGATTCCTCGATCTTTCCAGCAGAGGCGTTGCCTCCAGAATCGCTAGTATAGGGGTCGGAACAGCTTGATAGTACCCCTTTCTCGTCTTTAATTTGAGTATATTGTAGTGCGATAAATAATATACACGCTCCCCACCGCCCCTCCCCTCCTCCCTCACCTAAAAAACAGCTAGTCTAATTAATTATTCAGGCCCCTGGAGTCAACTGCTAAACTCTGCCAAACCCTCCCCTTAGCCCTTGAATTCGAGTGGTGGCCTTCAACGTCATGCGACTTTCAATTTCTGAGGCAAACTCTTCAGGAGCCCGAAACCCCTGCCCTGCTGCCAACCGGAGAGTGTCACGCCACAGCAGGACGACCAACGAGGGCATCTACCCCAGTGAGGCGACCTTCACCTGCAAAGGCTGCCAAGCAGAGTAAGTCCCCTGTATTTTGTGCTTTGAGGTATGATCCGATAGTTACAGTCCAACCAGCGCACAGGACAGCAATTTTGCAAGCGTTAAGTAATGTTTGAAGACTCCTCTGCTTCCTGTAGGGATTCGGCCGATGACTGGCAGCGATCGGTCCGTTTGTACACCTGCCGCCGGCTGAGTGATGGGCTTGAGTTTTTTGAGGCTTGTAGTCCTATAGCTGCGTGCAGTAATTGTTGTCGATGCTGGCAATCACTGGCAGAAACGAGGACGGGTCTTGGTCCATGGAGCCCCCTGTGTGCTGGGAAGCCATTCACTTCATTGCTGCAGCCGTCTTCGCCACATGGCGGAAATTCAATTCTGAATCATTGTTTCGAGACCCGCATGATGTGAAAGCTCAAGCTTCCTACAAGCGAGTGGGCTACTGGTGATGTTCTGAACGCAATGCACCACGCTTCAGACGATATAGCGACTCGTGTGCTTGTCGGCATCAGGAAGGAAACAGACCGGAAGTCCCAGAACACAACATCCCATGCTGGGTCTCCGCAGCTACATGTTAGCAGGTAATTGGGATGGATGTCTCCGCCTTCCTCCTCTACTACAGGTCCCTCAGAGAGCAGAGACTTGGAAGAGTAGGACGTTTGACAGGATCCACCTGCCGAGAGTTTTGTAGTCGCAGGTGTAGTCGGAAGGCAATGTACGGCGAGGGGCAGGGGTAGACGGGAAGGTTCTTTTGTAGGTTCCTGGCATCTTCGGCCCGAACTCAATTCGGCTGTAAACCCTCCCAGTGATCACCTCTACCTACGATGTATTTCGAAGCTCCGGTGCTGATTGAGCCCGAAATCAGGTGTGTGATGGTGCGGAAGCCGGCGCCGCTGCGGACGGACTCGTTGATTCCTCAGGCCACGCCTGGCAAATTCCCAATCCTATCTTGTTTCTTCCCTCCGAGAGATTTTTGCCGGAGCTTCAGCTCTTTCAGGAGCTTCTGAGCATTTTGGGTTGAGATGTTCAGGTGCGGCGGTAGCAGGGTCGGTGGGCAAAAGCGTGAGCACGAGCACAGGGGTCAAGATCAGTTCGGAACTGGGGATGACAAGGTTGACATTGTAAGGCATACGTCAGGCAAGAGTCAAGATTAACCACTCGTGGCGATGGCGACGACGACACGACAACCGCGACGACCACCGACCACGACGAATACGACGGCGACCAGCACCACTAATTACCGTCCCCATCACCACTACCGCCTCCGCCGTCCGAGTGTCATTGAGATTACAGCAAACCGGCTTTTGAGACAGGACTACTTGGGCAATTGGAACAGCGATTTGGTGGGCATCTTGTCGCAAATCCCGCTGCTGACTCTGTGGGACTCCGCGTTGTTCCGATTTCATGAGGTTCAACTCAATTGGTTGCAGGTCGAGGGAAAAGTACGTACGTGTTGTCGTCGTCCGGCCGATGAAACACAGACACCTAGGAGCAAGTCGGAGAAAGCACCGCGGCCACATCCTAGTTGAGAATATGAAAGCGCGGCATGCTGTCGAGCAGAGCAAGATTGCTGGACCTTTTCGAGCCAAACTGTGGACAGTCTTGAAGATCCAGAAATTAGCAGTGCCTGTCCTGAAGTCTCGGGAAGTCCGCCAGAAAGACCATGCGAACCTGAGGTGGCTGCTCCGCCGACATCTCCTACGGAATGACCTTTCCGCAGCTTTGGTGCAATTACATTCCAAAGTTAAACAGACACCGTGCGATTCATATTTCTCAAGGCATGTTGGCAGAGGGACTTCCGAGCTTCTCCCAAAAGGCTAGGTGTCAAATTTCTCGCAACAATCACCGTGGATCAACCTTCACAAAGCTAAAAGAGCGAGGCTTTGTAGACACTGCAACTGACCTCACAACAAAAGCTCAGAAACAGAGTGACTAGAGCATTTTGACGACGAGCAGGCAACCGCTCGAAGTGAAATGGAGCAATTGAGAAGAGCGAAGCGCTCGAAAGGGACCAGAGCATTTGAGAAAGAGGGAATTGAGCATGTGGGAGAGAGATGGCAACAAATGGGAGGGCACTTGAGAACAATCGAAAGGGAAGAGTGCACTTCAGAATGAACGAACTAACCGCTCGAAAGGGACTGCGGCATTTAAACCAGCAAACGTCCTTAAAGCGATTGGAGCCTGTTGAGAAAGAGGAGCAAGCCAAGCCGCTGCAAAGCGACTGGAGCAAAGGGACCAGAGCAGTTGAGAAAGAGGACCACACCGCGCGAAAGGGGGTACGGCGGCAAGAGAGGAGCCGCCCGGAAGGGACTAGTGCATTTGCGAAACGGCAGCAAACCGCACCGAAGGGACAGCTTGACAAAGAGGAGCGCACCCTTCGAAAGGGACTCAGTCACTCGAGCATTTTGTGAAGGAGCAGCAAGCCACTCGCAGCGAATTAATTAGGGAGCGGTGGAGAACAAGCAGCTAACCACCCGAAAGGTAAAGAAGCATTGGATTTGAACGCAAACCGATCTTTGAAAAAGCAGGAGGCAGTCGAAAAGGTTTGTGGTCCAGAGCTTATGGGCCAAAGCAGCCAACAGCTTGAAATGACGCACTTCAGGCAGAGGAGCAATCTGCTCGAAATGGATTGGGGCAAGTGAGAAAAACAAGGAAAGGGCTCGAACTGGATAACAAACTTTGAGACGAGGCCGCAAGCTGCTGGAAATGGTTTAAGGCATATGGCAAAGCGGAACAAACCGCTCGAACAAATATCTTTTTTTGGAGAGGAAGAACCGATACGAAGGGATTAGAGCACCAAACCCAAACTCATGCCCCAAACCCAGATCATTGTGGCTGCGGTTGTTGTTTTCTTGTCTTCCCAGTTTTAGTTTCACTGAAACCTGTCCGGGGTATCGTCAACCAAAGCAAAATATGCACAAATGTACCATCTCCAGTGGGTCGCTTGCCAGATGCCTTTGCATTTAGGCTTTGCCCCTGTCGGGTGGCAGCTACCTGGCAACAGGCTGGGCTGATTCCTTTCCAGTCACCCGGCAAAGAAGTTATGGTAAGTCAGTTATGGTGCCAGACACGTTGCCGTGTATGCAGAGAGTCAGGGAGGGGGCTTGCGATTGCAGTTTGAGGTGTCTCATCGGGTGTACTATACCATAAGTTGCAGGACAGGCTGCTGTTTTGTGGCACATGACCATAGTTGCAGTTTCTCTTTTCCTGTCCCTTGGCACATGAACCCTACCCCGGAAGCAACTCAAAGAAGGGCGCTCTCAGTCTCTTTCCTCGGAGAGCCTCGGGGCCTCTGCTCAGGTATGGAGTCCTGCTCCCTCACTTTTGCTGCTGCTGCATGCCATGCATCGGAACCTACTTCCGAAGCGTCTTGCGACAGCGTTTCGCGATCAGGCGCCCTCTGCAAAAATTACGGAGCTGCCAGGCTTTTAGACTGTATGGCAACCTGATCATAACCCCAACTACTAGGATGGTTTAAAGCTGAGGACGCTCAAACTACTCCCGTAAAGCATCCCAAAAGCCCAAAACCCAGAGAGGTCGCTGCCAGTCTTTAACCACAGCTCGCCGGTATGGGGGGATACCTTAAGACGAGAAATGCTCGCATGCATGCCGAACGGTGGCCTGAGTCTTCCGGGATTCCGCCGTGTATCCCAAGCCCAGTACTTAGCCTCAAGGCCTTCAGTTTCAGGCATGCCGCTCCCTGACCCGAGAACGCTGGGCCATAAGATCGAAACATGCTCATGACACTGCACAGCCCGAGTTTCGAAGGAGATCCAGCACCACGCTGGACTGCGTGGCTTGGCCCTTTGGCTGCATCTGAATGCTCATCAACGATTCGAGCTTTGAGAATGGAATTTTGAGATGGGAGATGATGGGAGACCATCATAATTGAAATTTCAGTCTCGGTTAGCACTTGGAAGTGATTCTCGCAGCCCAGGACGGCGCTGAGTTGCTGCGCCATGGTGCATCTCGACACTTACGGAACACTTATGGAGCAGCTCTTGGCCCCAATCAAGACACCCTGAGCAGAAGGCCGAAATAGGGATGGAAGCCCGGTCTTTGTGAGGGCTTGCAGCCTGGGCCTCTGAGTTTTGATTGCGTCGATGACATCCCTTGTGAGTTCTGTAGCTTGCAATTTGTATATTGTTTCAATGCAGGCTTTCAGCCTGAGGGTTGCGAGGATGTCTCGTGGGTCGCCGTGTTAGGAGCCTGTGGCATGGTTGATGCTTGTCCCAAGGCAAGAAGCCAAGATGGTGGACGCCATGTGTGCGCCTGGCTTGGAACAAGCCGTTGTAAATGGCAAGAGAAAGGCTCCAAATTGAGAAGGTGCGAACCGAAGCACTTACTTGTGCCGCTTGCCACAGGTTTCTAGCTGCTGATGCATGGTATGGGTGTATATATGTAGTGTATGAGTACGAACAAGCATGTGTGTGTATATATATATATATATATATATGCGCCACGCGCCACAGTGCTCAACTTTGCGATCCAAAGCACGGAGCCTTGAGCCGTGCCCGGCCACCTATGCTCTCAGTTGCAAACGCTTCTGCCGAAACCGTCACGGCCTTTGGGCCCTCTCTTTCTGCCGAAAGCTGGGCAACACCTCGCAGGCTTCGTGTAATGGGGTGCCAGGGTTTTAGGAGGAGGCCCGGAGCCTTCAGTGACTCCAGTCAGTGGCCTGACACCCGGCCTTCGGCCTTCCCAGGTGGTGGCACACGAAGAGGCCCGGGCCAAGGACGCCGCGGTCGGCTTATGTCTGAGAGCGCTCGGTAGACCTCAACCAAATTGGGTTTCAGATCAGAGTTCGGGGTATGATGCAGGTTTCGAGGCTCGCAGATGTCAAGTGCAGGGCTTGGTTTCTCGGTTCAAGGGCGTGGGGGTTGGATACGATGAGGGACTGATCGTGTCGGGGTGTCAGGTTTGAAGCCCAGCTCAGCTCTGCAGCATGATTTTCTGTGGGGTGAAGTGTGCAGGGATCTTCAGAACACGAGCCTGCTGCGGGTAGTGGTGGCATGTGCTGAAAGTTTTTCAGTTTTGGAGAGGTTGAGGCGATCGGTATGTTGACATACTGATGCATCTCCACTGCACTTGTCTTTTCAGCAACACCTGAAGCCTCAATCCTGGTGTCGAGGTCAAGTAGGCCAGGCTAGCAGCCTTGTGACACTTCTATTCGTATCAGCCTGAATGCTGAGGTTCGATAGGCTGTGGAAGAAGTGTGAGTAGTGCCTGTGTGTGATAACGTGTTGCTGCTGCCAGGCAATGTGGGCATACTGAATACTGAATACAGTACCCCTCAATGCCCCAGTGCCCCAGGAGGCCGCAGATCAGAGGAAGGCGCCTGGAGGGCTTTGGGTCGGAGTTTCAGGTTTCGATGGCCGGATGCCTCAAAGTCGGAGACTTTAAGTGTAATGCCTCGACCCTTAAGTCGCGGTTATGCGTAGACCGGAATGCAAGGAAACCGACACAAACACAAGCGAAGTCACTGGCCACGAAACGACTGTCGCAACAGCGACAGCAACGGCAACGACGATAACAAACTAGGCAAGGACTAGGCAAGAAGCAAACTACGAGAGCGAAAGAGAGGGAAGGAGACGGAAAGACGGAGGAGTAAGCGTCTCCGAAGCAGCGCAAGTCAGTTGAGATAGGTTGAGAAGCAGGCACAAACCGTCCGAGAAAGAGTGCAGATGTCGGCATGATGGAGCATGCGGTGTTTGTCAACTTGTCTGGCTGTTTACCAACATTGTGCTCTTCTCTCTCAACTGTTGCGGTGGCTTTCTAAGGGCTAGCTTCCATCACGACAGCTTCTTCAGCTCGCTTCGAAACGCCTGCTCCTGTCAAGACCCTGGGTCCGCTGCGAAGTATCCGCTGCGAAGGATGCAATCGTCTCCAGCTAGCTCTCTCTCTCGCTCTCTCTCTCTCTCTCTCTTTGTTTCCTCAGCCATTGTTGACCAGCTTGTTCCCAACTCACAACAGCTGGGGTCCCTCGTGAATGTCCCTATCCCCATTGTGGTTGGCCCTTTCAAGCGGGCTTGCTGTGTGATCTAGACTCTTCTTATCCGTCTCCAGCATTTGGCCTGAGAGTCCCAACCTCTTCTATCTTCTCCGAGCGACTCAAACCCTTCCTCAACTAATTCGCTTAGATTACTGTTAGATAGTCAACAAGTAACAATAAGTTGGATGCAGAAACCTTTCGCAAGGGCCGAGATATTTGTGAACAAAGGTTGGGGATGGAGAAGTCGAGAGGGAGGAACAAACCCAGTTCGAGAATGCCGCAGACATGGGATGGGGAGGAGTAGAGGAAGAGAAGGAGGAGGAGCAGGAGGAGTGCCCGTACTTTTGTGCAGGCGTCGTCGTTGCAGTAGCATACGTGGTTCGGCCGGTGTGCTGGTACTGGCGCTGGTGGCTGGCGTAGCGCTGGCGCTGGCGCCTTCACTGGTGCTGGTGGCCGCGGTGGTGTTGATGAGTTCGCAGGAGGAGGAGGAGGAGGAGGAGGAGGAGGAGGAGGAGGAGGAGGAGGACCCGTGGCGGGAGCATCCCTGGTAGCCTTGCTCGCCGTAGGAAGATTGATGCAGCACTGTGGCAACAGGCACAGCAATGATTGCGATACTCACAAGAACAACCGCAAGCATCGACACCGATTTCAACATCATCCATTTCAGTTTTGAAAGCACGAGAAACATGGTTCATTTGAGACCAGAAATCAGCGGGGCAACCAACCAATCATGATCATCATCCACAGCCGACCGGGCAGCCCTGAGCTCCTTACGCTCTCAGCCTAAAATGCCTAAAGCAGTCCAAGACGTGGACCCAAGTGCAGACTCAAACTCTCAGCCCTCGAGCTGCGAGAACGGAACCACTCGTTCCAGGCCTCGGCAGAAGAACTGCGCAGGGGCAAGGCTTGCTCGAAGCTTGGATGTGGGTTCAAATCCTGAGCCGAAAGGGTGTACAGGAGCCTCGTAGAGTTTCAGACGGATCTATCCGGGTTTAGGGCAGCCGGCCTTCGCTTGCTCGAAGTCCTAGGTTCAGTTCAGACTTATTATTTTTAGCGACGCAACGTTCCGGTGGACCGGACCCAATTCTTCGCAGCCTGATGTTCACACGCTCTGTCGCACCACAATAGGAATCTCTGTTGTGTGACGAAATGTCCGTGTGCTAAAGGAAACAGATACAGACGGAGTCAGTGACAGAGAAAGTAAGGAGTAGGAAAGATAGGCAGAAACGACAGCCAGACAGTGAACAAACCATTGGAAACAAAGTCTGTGATTGGTTACGATGTATGAACCTGACTATGTTTCATATCTGGAAAACATGTACACATACACATGCGCATGTGTGTGCGTGCGTGCTTGTGCTTCCAGACGTATGTTGTACATACTTTTCTAAATATGCGTAGCTAGTTTGCGTGTTCGACCGTCTTATGTTGTGTGTACAGTTCTGACGTGCGTGCTTATATGTATACGTACGCACATATGTACCCAGGTATTGAGGTGCACATTCAGAGGGATGGAGTTGCAGCGTTGCTTTGAAGCCAAAGGGGGAGGAACCCTTGTGACTCCGTATGTTTTTGTTGGATTGCATTTCCCCTTATGGTTCGAGTTGAACAGGTCGGCCACCAGAGCACAATGGCCCTGGGCCCTTCTCCAAAGAGTGTTGGCGCTAGCAGCTTTCGCGCCCTTCGGCCAGCGTTGGTTTAGCGTAGGTATTATGATAAGCATCAGCATCGCAACCTGCATTGATGCACACATGGCTGTACCAGTCGCTTCACAAAATGCAACACTCGCTACTTGCTTCAAAACAGCGCCTGTTGCTAGCACTGAAGATGGCAGAAGCCTTCCGTATCATCCTGCTGCTGCTACTACTACTACTAATAACAAAAACAGTAATAAGAATGACTACTACTACTACTCCTCCTCCTCCTGCTGCTGCTGCTGCTACTCCTACTCCTACTCCTACTCCTACTGCTACTCCTACTCCTACTCCTACTGCTACTGCTACTGCTATTGCTACTGCTACTGCTGCTGCTACTTCTACTGCTCCTGCTGCTACTGCTACTGTTATTGCTACGACATCTATTACCTCTATTACCTTTATTACGTTACTAGTTCTACTACTACTACTCCTCCTCCTCCTACTACCTTTACTCCTCCTACTACTCGTCCTCCCCTGCTACTACCACTGCTACTACGACCTCTCTACTACTACTACTACTACTACTACTACTACTACTGCTACTACTGCTACTACTGCTACTACTGCTACTACTGCTACTACTGCTACTAACTACTACTACTACTACTACTACTACTACTACTACTACTACTACTACTACTACTACTACTACTACTACTACTACTACTACTACTAGTTCCACGGCTACCACACGACTGCTCCTACTCTTGCTCTTCCTCCCCGTTCTCCTTCTTCTACTTCGTGTTCTGCCGCTACTATTTCTACTGCTAATCACTTGTAATCACTGGTATGGCCTTTGGAGCCGTTTTGTTTTCTGTGCTTGCCATTGTTGAAGCCGAACATATGCTCAAAAGCAAACCAAAGGCCGTAACGCCAACCCGCAAGCCCTTATCTCGAATTCAACCATCCGATAAAATGAAGATTAGAATGGCATCCGTGCTGAGCATGACATTCACAAATCGAGCATTGCACGGAAAACCCTGGACCCTGCAAAGTCCGAAAACAACTATTTGACCCTCAGGGCCGCTCATGTGCCGTTCGTCGGTGAACAACTTGTGATAAGAAGGCGACTTGTGATGATGTGCGGGTACCCATGCTGCCCTCGCCGAATTTCGCCTAAACATTGCACCCTGAACCTGACCCTTAAACACGAGACCTCAACCATGAAATGACCTTCACACCGTCCCGGAGCCCGAGCAGCCCCCAAGACTTTTTGATCTTCCCCCAATTCTCCCAGCAACAGCCTCAAGCTGTTCGACCTGAGTTTGGTCTCTCCACCAACCACGGCGCTCTTCGAACTCCGCAGCGCGGCCACAGTACTAGTTGTCTTGCTGGAGGGTGGTTTGCACCATAGTAAGGAGTCTTGTTTCTAGCCTCCTACTGCTTTTAGCCAAAACCCGCCACGTACTCGTTGGAAGTGAACCGGCTTCCACACAGCCTCACAATGCCTATCTCTCGGAACTGAGGACGGAGCTTTGCAACCCGTAGTGGGAGCTCTTTACTCTGCCAAGGGCAAGCTGCTCTTGCTGTTCTAGGATATGCACCTTATGTCGCGCACTGAAAAATTTGATACAGTACTCTGCTCTAGTGTAGTATGTTGTAAAACGTGCAAGTGCGTGCATGGAACCCCTTTCCATGGGTCTCCAATTTTTCCAGCCATGCAATGCAATGGTGCATGTATACGTATACGTTGTATGTGTATGAGTATGTGTATGTGTATGTAGAATTATGTGTATGTGCGTATGCATGTATGTATGCATGTATGTATGTATGTACGTATGGACGCATATATGTAAGTATTTCTGTAAGTTATCAAGTGTGTATGTAGTATGTATGTGTGCGCGTCTAGGTGTGTATATGTAAGAACGTATGTGTGCACGTTTGTATGCATGCATGTTTGTATGTATGAATATATACGCACGCGTGTATGTGTGCGTTGTATGTAGGTAGGTATGTATGCATGTACGGATGCATGCCTGCATGGATGCATGCATGTGTGCATTCATGCACCTGTCTCTTTACACGTATATCGAGACAGATGAATTGCCGCCATGTTGCGTGCATCAAGCACTGCCGTTTCAGCCCTCGTCAGGAGAGCCGCTTTGGAGACGATGTCGTCGCCTGTGTAGCTGGAAAGCTGCGCAGGCATCTCAGCTGATCAGATCAGGTCCTCGAAGGGTCTTAGAAAGGTGGCATTTCCTTCCTGATGCTATTGCCGGGGTTGCCGCCTGGCTAAGATGTATATAATGATGAGCGGCTCGCACAACTGTCTCTGAGCAGTACGAAACCAGCTGGCAGTGGCCGCAGGTGTTCCTCGGCCCTAAGCCTTGAACTCTTCTCGACCGCCAGGAAACCGCAGGACTCAAGTTCTCCCTGGGCAAGTGAGCCCGAAATCCGGGCTCTACCAGCACGTAGGTTTGGGGTGCTTAAGTCTTCAGGGATTCGGGGACAGGGCCTAGGATGGCTTAGGGAAGTTGTTGTGGTTTGGGCTGGAAGGCACTGAACGCTTCGGCTTCAGGCTTGCCGTCCTCTTGGGCGTTTGTACAAAAGTCCTGGCCGAAGACCGGCCGGGGAAGATCCGAAGGGAAGCCATCGCAGCTTTGCAGCTCCAAGCCTGAAATCCAAGCCTAGCCGAGCACTGACTTTCGTAAAGCGAGGAAAAGATCTACACGACTCATGGTGTGGCTTTCAGCTTGTGGGTAGATCACACCTTTGCCCTGACCCCGCCTCTCTTCAAGTCCAGACGTGGCTGCAAGTAGTGACTCCCGCAACCCCGCAGAACACTAAAGAGACGCAGCTTCGAAGGCTGCGCTTTTCCCCTGCGGCACACTAGAATATCGAGCACACGACTATCTTGGTTTTCAACCTCGAAAGAAGATGTGCTTGTTTAACTGTTCTTTGTGTATTCACTTACAAACAGAAGTTTTCGCGAGCGCAAGCGAATCCTCTGCACTTCCGTAGCCGTCAGCAGTCTGCGCGGGGTCCGGGCCCTTTTGGGGATCCGAGATGGCGCTATGCCCGAGGAGGCGACCATGCTTGCGAAGCAAGGGTTTAGGGACATGGACATGTTTGGTTTAGGGATATCGTGTTCATAATTCCACGATGTGGCACGGCGAACGAGTTGATTATGAAGAAGGCGATGCAAAACAAACACACTTGCCGGACACAAGGAATGGCATACGAAACATGGATGGTTGATCCGTCGGGGCAGGGTCCTGCCCGATACGCCAAACAAAATCCCCGAGTTCTACATTCTGCAATCAGCCCTTCCGGGAGGCGGAGCCCTCGGCTCGGAGACTCCCGTCGCCCAACATGAGAATGTTCAAGGTCTGTCTGAAGCTAGAGGCATCCATCTCGCAAACTCAAACCGAGATTCCTCAAAATACTACTAGTAGGCCTAAGAAGCTCCACGTGTTCCAGCAGCCTTGTGCCATGTCAGGTAGAACGGTGTGGACGGCTAGGCCAGGCCTCCGTGACGTTTCTTCATAGTCTGGGTGTACCTGAACAAGAACCCCTCAGTGCGTTTGGAGTTCCTAGTTTGGTTGAAGGGCATCCGGGTGCGACCGGCTCCAGCAGTGATATCGGGGGAACCTCAAACCAAAGCTACGGCTACCTTATCATGGTGTCATGGAAATGGACGTAAGGGTCCGACGATTGAGGGCTATTTTCATGGTCTCTGACTTCCTGAGCCTCGCAACTGCTTTTTACTTCTTATCCCAGAGCAATAGGAAGTGAAGAGTCCAAGTTTCGGGTGCAGGACACTGTCTTTGGGGCCCCGTTGGATCCCTCGCTTTACATGATAGGGGTCGGCATCCAGCATAGTTTAGGGTTGGGAATTACTAGTCATGTGCAGTCATCCTTACATGACTGTAATATGAATTATTCCCAAACCCTGGTTCTAATCATTAAATCCCCTGCACTTTCTAGGTTCGCACGGCTGAATCTCCAGACTTCGCCGCTTGAGGTCGCGTGTAGCTACGGGCCGGTTGAACGAGACTGTCGGCTCGACATCGCTCCGAAGAGCCAAGCCCCAAACCAGAAACAGCACTGCCAAAACCCCAACCAGAACCCTACTGGCCCTACTTCTCCAAGCAACCGTACTCAAGACTTTTCCGCGACCCCATCCAACTTGGACAGCGACTCACGGAGCCGATGCCCACACCTTGAACACGCGGCGTACACCTGAAACCATCAACCGTAATAAACCCACTTGCGCCCTCAGCTTAAGACCGGAATCCCTACAGCCGGAGCTCTTCGTACCTCGTGCCCCGGCCTTGACCCCAAACTCCTGAAAGAAACCCTGCTGCGGCCCGGCGCTACAGAACCCATGAGGCACAGACCTAGCCGCAGCCCTCCGCCGAGGTGATGTGTAGACCCCAGCTTTTGACTTGGATTGTCCAGGGTTTCGGGTTTGGGCCTTATGGCGCATTGGATTTCTTCCCTGGTGTGTTGAATTTAGACGGTTTTGGGGTTTGGGCGGGAGATTGACAGCTTGCTTGAAGGGTTGAAGGTTTTCGGATCCTGCCAAAACGGGGTAAGGCGGCGTCTTGTGTGCTTGAAAGCATGCAGCATCTACATCAGGATGTTGCCCCAGAGCCTGCAAACTCCGGCTGCAAGGAGTGGCAGTTTGGAGGCTTGCTTTTAGGCAGTATCCTGAAGTCCTGAAGCTGTGTTCACAATTAATGTTTTCTGCGATGTTGTTTGTACTTTGTCGTTGCTGCAGAGCTTCCAGGCAGTCCCTTCATGCTTTCAAGGTGTGTTTGCCCCTATATGCCGCGGGCTTCAAGATGCTTATGTGAATTGGTCTATCCAGCTCCCCACAGTCCGAGCCTGCTAGATGACCTACAGTCTGAAGGAGCGGCAGTAGGAGGAGGACGACAATTTAGGGGGGTTTGCAGGATCTCTACGTTAAGCAGAATGTCTGGTTGAGCAAAAACGCCGGACTCCCGTTCTACTTGAGAGTGATACCGGAGGCGTGGCTAGCAAAACGGTAACACAAAGAAGATCTCGGTTGAGCTATTTATGGTCGCTGGTTAAGTTCGAACATTGAAGGAATCGTGCTCCTGTGCACGTCATATGTGCCTGGCAGGGGCAATCCTTCCGACGGGGTGAAACAGCAAGGTATTGACCGTCTAGCTCGTTGTTCAAGCCTATGTGGGGTAAGAGCCGCACTGGCTCAAGAATCAAACAGCAGCAGAGGGCAGTGTCTGGTGACCACTGCCACCAAGGGCAATCATTGTTAATGCAGTGATGCTAGCAGTATCGGCAGTCACTGCGGTGGTGGTAACAACGACGAATGGCAGCCTCGACCAGTGTCTGCAGTCTGCATCCGTAGTGTAGCAGCGCGACACAGAGGAGAAAACGGAGGAGTTTTCGTCGTGAAAATATGTGAGGGCAACTAGAGACCTTGACTTGTACCGCTCAGAGGAACGAAAAAACACAAATCCAGAATGAATGCAGCAAACCCTGCGGCATCCAGGCTTTAGGCGTGTGCTTCCTCCTCACCCCGGCGGAGCTCGCAGACCTCACGAGCTTGGCCCTCGGAACTGAACGGACTTTGTTGACGGCTTAGGGTTTCAGTGTTCAGGTCCAGGGCTTCAGGGATTGGCGGAGGTCCAGGGCTTGCCGGGTTCGGCAAGGTTTGCGCACAACGCCACACGCCTTCCGGGAGATCTATCGAGGCGTAGTTTCCAAAGCTGTGAATTATTAGGTCAGTTAGGGTTTGAGCGGCTCGTCATAGAGGTGTTCAAGGGTTTGCGACGGTTTCCCAAGAGTATGTTCGCATTGCTTGCTACCTGCAGGGTTCCGGGCAAGAGAGCTGGTTGTCCAAGTTTCGATTCTCAACACAACTTGGACACCAGTTTCTATCGAGGTGAAGACAAACTGTTATGCACGAACAGAGCACTCGCTTTGGTTAGCATCAGAGCCAGCAAAGGTACGATTGTGACTCTGTTTTGCCAAGGTGTTGCCCGATGGTGCAATGGTAAGAGTCAGCGGAGGGCACTTTGGTACACGTGCGCCTGCAGTTCCAACTCCTGGTTAACGCAGCCGCAGCTGAATGCAAGGGCGCTGTTTCATGTTTGGGGCTTAGGTTTTCCGTCTGGTGAAGAAGTGGTTGCAGTTGTCCATGGCTTCGCCAGTCTACTGTACAGCTTGGGAAACTTGACCAGCTTCGATACAGCGAGTGGCCGCAAACACTTCAATGGCTGTCTTTACGAACGCGACAGCTTGGTGGACGCATACCTTTCAACTGCGCAAGAAAGGCGTATCCGAAAGAAGCGATTTGCAACGTACATCTTACATCGCACTTCTGAAACACTGAATTGAGTGTTCCCTAGGGGAGCTTCTATGCCTGGCATGAATTCCAGAAGTTGTGTGGGTCTTGAAAAGAGGAGCTTTCTGATCCTGTTGACCTCCAGAAACCGGAAACCCAAAACATACAGAGTGAAGCCATAAACCGCAAAACGGATAAGTGTATAATCGTGGAGGTACTACATGCTCCACTGGGCGGGTGAGTGCGGAGCGGGAGCTGGGACGCAAGCTGGGGCCGCAGTTTGCGGCTTCAGCTCATTCCCGCTCGAACTTCCTTCCAGGAACCTAAGTAACCCTCTTGACGGCATTAGATCCTCTAGCGTCGTCGTCGGGAGTTCTTTGAAGTGTCCGATTCCGGGTTTGGGTTTGTACAAAGATGCGTTGCTTAGGTCTTGTGGGACTTGTGCCTTTGCTTAGATCATCCTATTGTAGGTCCCAACTGCACAGCAGTAGCGCTGGTAAGGGTCACCCCTGACCCCTACAGTGGCCCGACATCCCTGGCTTGAGTTCCCGAAACCGTCAACTGTGCTACGAATCCTACGAAGGCCTCTAGTGAGTTTTGGTATCCTCTGGACTCTAGTCATCTTCTGCTCTTACGGAAAGTCTGAGTGCGAGGTTCGTCCCCTTCGCTCCGTGGGCGACATGTGGCCTGCGCCATGGCAGGGAGCCCGGGAAAAGGCGGAGGAATCGAAGGTTTCTTGGGGTTTGGGGTTGTCAGGGTTCTTCGGACGCATGGTTTTAGGATGTTTTAGGGCTTCAATCGGTGTTAAGGGCGTAGGATCACGAATCACCGGCTTAGGGGCTTCCTGCTACGTGA